GAAAAGTTTGCAATATGATATCAAATCAACGAATTAGGATTAAGATTGAGATCTTACAATCCACTGGTCAAAAATGCGAAGATGAGTCGAATACGTTGAGCCGACGTTTCGAAAATCTCACACATCGTTCTCCTTCGAGTTTAAAATTTTGCTACGAATATCAAGAAATAAGTCTGGTACTACATCTGGGTGTAGAAAATTGCCAACTGATCGGAAATCATATTTTAACATATACAAAAAACTTAAGATCTAACCCGATAATGTTTTCACAAATTTGAAGAACTAGACCTAATCTGAACGAAACAGAAGAAAAACAATCTTATTGATACATATAACCGTCAAAGACCCAGAAAGATCTCAATCAGCAATACTTGTACATTCTCAATGTAATATATTACTATACTGAATCCATTTAAATTCAGCTATCTACTTTGGATATCCTCTGCATTTATTCTAGTCACTGTTTATATCATCTTACTTATCATCTATCTATTTTACGCTATTTACTTACCTACCCCGACTTGACTATGAAAGATGGGGTTTGTTGTAATCCCTTCAGGTAATTTGAACTTCAAACTTTCATAAGCTTTAATTGCTGTAAATCCTGGCAACAAGCATCACCTGTACGGCTTACCTTTTGGGATTCTTCCCAAGCCTTTACACGACGGGCAAGGAACGCTGTCTTCAACCAACTCTTCGTACTTGAACGAGCGATCGCCACCACCGATCGTGTTGCAGAAACTGTCGCTTCGCGACGATGCCTTGTCCGACATTATTGGTAGTTTATCGTCCATCATTTCCGCTGACCAAACTAACCGATGATTCGTGGAAGACTCTTGGCAAGACAGCTATTCGTAGTTACATCTCGTCATCTGTCCTCCTTCTATCATTCGAGATTATCGCCATCTCAAAATGGTGTCATTACCATTTGACTACTCAACTCATTTAGCACTTCTGTACGGCGAAGTCTTAGAAATTAATGATCTGCATGTTTTCTTTAATATTATACAGCAAATCTTTATTTACACTCACTGAACGTAAATTACAACATTAAGGAAATATACTGTTAGATGCGGAAAAAGCCTTTTCGTAAACAGTTGATCTTCTGAACGAAGCTGGAATTCTTAATGACCCCCCTGTACAAGAAGTGTTTATCAAAGAATAGTGCATAGCAGTTTGCAGAGGTTCTAGTGAAAACTTCCAGTAGAAAAACTGCTCGTCAATTCGACCATCGCATGTGCAGGCTCCGGGAAAATAAATACGAGGACAAAATAATATTATTTGCCTTAATTTGCTTCACCTTTCCAGTCGCGGAGGCAGATGCGTTAAACGGTGCTTCCAAAGTTTCCAATTCAATGCCACAGTCTAAGCTTCAGCTGGAGGCAACTAGAGTCTGGAGAATGCTCCTTCCGTACTGTTGCACTAAGTTAGTTTTGGCCGTCCACTGCGCCTTCTGCCGGTTAACTGGGCAAGAAATAGTTTCTTCGCTTTCCTTTCTGGAGTTATACCTACACCATCGTATCTTTGACTTCTCATTCTAAAGAAGCAGTGCCTGTATACCGAGGCTCTGTCAAATATTTGTGCTTCAAATCATGTCCAGATTCATCTGCCTACTGATTCGTCTCAAAAACCGCTTGCAGCCGTAACAGAATTTTCCCAGTCATAGCCTACGACTCCTGACCGTAAACGAGTAATTGGATGAAAATCAACTTGAACACCGATAACTTTGTCTTCATACTCGGTTCTGCCTTAGTCACAATGGTTCTAGCTAGTTCACGCAAAATGCCACTAACTAGTCCAATCTGCGGGTCAATCTCTAGCTCAAATTTTTCATTACCCGTAAAAATGACCCTGAGGTAGTTCAACTTCTCCATCTGCTTCACTGCTTCTCCGTTAATTTAAAGTGAACGAAGGGCAGGTTTATGAGAAAGCACTAGGCTTTCATTTTGCATATGTTTCCACACATGCGAGCCTCGTCGCAGTCTGCTGCGAACCTGTCCAGAGAGCGGTGGAGATCAGTTTCAGAAGATGCCAATAAAACAAGATCGTTTGCACACAACAACGAACCGTGGCGTAACCTGGCTTAACCGTCTTCAGCCTGTAACTTCAGCTTATTGAAGATCATAACGCTGCGAAATAATTTGTAAAGGATAAAATAGTAAGTGAAACAAACAACAGTGAAACAAAAAACAGTGAAATAGGATTGATCACTGAGCAACTTTACTAATGGTCAAAAGTGTCGCGGATTTTTTGGTCCATCGCAACGGCAGTCTGCGACAGAGTTTTTTTATGGAGCTAATCATTTTCGTTTTGAAAGATGAATGTTACTGCTTTTTATGAAAAATTTTACACGGCACAAAGTTTAAGAATTGAATTTGAGTTCTTGTAACATCTAGCCTGGTCTTATAAGAGTTGTGGAATATCTGACTTATAGGGTTGAAAACAGAATGAAAGCTGACGAAAGAGAGTGACTTCAACTAATCATTCTCGTTTGTATAGTGCACATACTACGGAGTTTTGCTGTAAGGGACGAGAAGATTAATTTCAAGCCAACATGGCTTCAGCAATTGGCCTAATGAATTTCAGGACTGAGTATGTTGTCTGTAAACACACAAGATGGCAGAGATTCAAATCTGCTTCTAACTCGCGCAACCACAATCCGGTTGTATTTGTGACTGGAGGAGTGGGACCGACTTTCCTGCACAAGTCGATTCAACAATAGCGTTGATGAAACCAGCTTCTTCTTAGCTATAGAAAGAAGGATCTAAAAATCGTTTGGAGTAATACGACGCACCACGCCGCAAAGTTATAGCTATTCCATTGAACGATAGATTATCATAAACACTCAGCGTTCGGAATGCTCGAAGCCTTTTACAGCAAGAGGAAAGATATAACCGCAAGTTTGCATAAGATGTTTGATCCCAGATCACCAGCATAAGATATACTTAAAAGCATAAGATTCCGTTCATTTTGGTCGCAATCCAGGAAAATCTGTGTGGATAACTGCCATTAATGGATCAGAGAACAATCACTCAGTGCTGAACGATGATGTTCTGTAATGGGTAGCAATGAGACGTTTCCGCGGGTAACAGTGCAACGCGTTTTTTACTGAGAGAAGCAAACTAGTCAGGTAAAACTAACATGACCTAAGTCGCATACTTCACAGCAAACAAGAAAGGAATTTCGCGATTGTGCGCCGTCAGAGCTGCATATTCGAAAAATTCCAGCAGCTGGGCGATTCCATGCTGCTATCGGATGCAGTGAAAATTTGTTGTTTAGAGTTTGAA